AAGGCGTAACATTTTCAATGAAAAGTGTCTCCCCTGCAGGAACTGCAGCAAAATAGCTTTGTAGCTATTAAACACAGCGGGTTTAGCTTCTGTGTGCCACATTATTATGGTAACAACCTTTTGGAGAGTACCAAGTTTGCCTTTATCAAGATATCCCGAGGTAAAAGAAAAAGCCATACTCCTGCGGTAACATGCCTTAAAAAATTACCTATATTCAAATAATTTGGCTTCTCCGTCTTTTCCACTGTACGTCTAAAGATGATATTACGGCTCAAATAGCAGCAGCAACATGAGCTTTCCCACACCTCTGCAAGATGCGTGGAAACGACTGGAAATCAAGATCAGTCTGACCATGAACAGCTGAAATCTGCAGGCGGTTATCAGCCCCGTTTTTGCTTACTAGTGTGGGAATTTGGCCCTAACAGTCGATGGCGTGGGAATCTATCGAGTACTGATGTCTACGAATCATCTCGTGGAAACAGTTTATCGATCATTTGTCCAGCGCCATAAATCGAGCCCGTTGCAACATCATGCACATCTCTAATGTCCTACTGTACCGAAACCTCGTTGATTGAGGTCAGTCGACCAAACGGTATCACCTCCATTATACTGAACGCCATCCAGATGCATGGATGGTAGTGGGAAAGAAACGAACAATTTAAGATCTGGTGTGTCCTATTACAATTGACGGTGAGGTTCTCTGCTGGCCGAGAGTGCATGTAGGAAGAAGGGAGGAGGAGGGGGCAAACGGTGAAAGCTGAACGTGGAGGCCGACAGAGCGCATGATAGACAGAGATAGGTGGGAGTATCGACCCGATACGTCACTGGAGCCGACCATACAGGCGATGGCGACAGTCGTAACAACAACAGTTATTCTCGGAAAAGATCCGCGAGGTACGGCCACGAAATAGGGAGTGGTCAAACACCGGATAAGCCAGTCCCTTGCCTCGTATTTAAGTAAGCCATGTTAACGCCGTATTTTACTACAGTTATTAATGCACTAAGCATATTCCATTGCCATAAAGCAGTGCAAGTATAACCGATCATGGAGACCATGGGTAATCCATAGTAAGGTTATGAGCCAAAACCTTTTTCAGAGGTCATAGACCTCCAAGGTCAAATGATGGCACGGTGCACGTCGCGACCTTTAACACACTCGTTAGCGTCCGGAAACCGTCCGTGTGGCCATATCTGTTTAGGAATGGAATGATTGATTGCACTGTGCAAATATTACGTGAAACTGTTGCTACTATTTGAACGACGAATTGTAAGTCAACTTGTATAGTTTCGTTCTTTTACGTACA